CCCACCGGCCTCATCTTCGGCTAGTTTCTCTTTTGCAGCTCCTCCCCCCTCGTCTACTTCATTCTCATTTGCTGATCCCCCGAAAGTAACTCCCTCGGCTGGATCCTTTATCAACCCGTTTGCGTCTCCTCCCAAGATTGGGGCGTCATTCGCTGCTGCTGCTGGACTGACGAGCTTGGGTTCTGGATTGACAGGTACTACAAACCCATTGTTCGGTGGCGGATCCACTAGCTTCTCCTTTGGGGGTCCTCTTGTTACTGGCGGCGGCACTTCCTCAACGCTCAGCAAAGGGTTCTCATTTACATCTACTTCATCTACTGACTCGGCCAAAGGTGGTGTAGGGTCGTCACAGGAGACAGTAGTAGTCTCATCGACAGCTCCGGCACCAGCCGTCGGCGGTGCAGCAGCCTCGGGTGCCGGTGTATCGCAGGACAGTGATGTCGCCCCAGAAGGGGGTACCGGACTTGCTCTTGGAGAGGATAAGTTTGACCAACCAGGACCGGGAGAAGAAAACGAAGAGAGCCTGTTCAACGTTCGCGGGAAAGTTATGAAGTTCTCAGGAAGTGCTTGGGCCGATCTGGGTATCGGTGAGTGAAAGAATGTCTTCGACGACGTCGAACGTGGCGTTACTGATCTGGACCGTACGTGCCTATAGGACAAATTCGTGTTTATAAACATAAAGAGACTGGAGCAAAGAGGATATTTGCCCGTAATAGCAAGTCTGGACGCATTCTCTTGGTGAGCATTCGGCCTCTGGCGGTGCTTCTTCCTGACCGCTTACCTCTCCCTGTACAGAATTTTGCTCCATTCGCAAAGATGGAACCGAAAATCGACGAGCAGAAAGCAAATTTCATGAGAATGACGGGTATGGATGACGGGAGACTAGTGAAGATATTAATAAAGCTAAAGGAGGCAAAAGAAGCTGCGGAGCTTGTCGCGGCCTTGCAAAAAGAAGTCGGTCTGCTTTCCTAATGACCATTACGACGACTCCTTGATAGACCGGACTGATAATATCCACCATTGTACACCCTTCACCTTCTCTACATCAGTTTCACGTTGGGTAATCGCCTTTGTTATATGAGGACGGCGTCTGAGTTAGAGCGAGTGTTCTGATGGTCCCCCTCGTGTATACAGGCACCAAAGTTCAATATAAGGGATTTCAATGGAGATAAGCACCTCGTTAACAACTACCAATGAGATAAAAGGACGATGTATACGAATCGAGAAGTGCTATGCCATTGGCCAATTATAAAGCAGAGAAGGTCTCCTTAGGAGATTCTGACCAATTCGACATCGAATATCAGCGTCGCGTTGGGAGGAATGAGACCTGGGTATCCGCGAGCACCTGTATCAGCAGCAGCGTCAGCAGCAGCACTGCGTGAGGTTCGTAAGGGTTTACTCACCGTATGCCATATCTCCAGGAATCGTGAGTTTTCTCTTCTCGCCAGCAACCATGCCTACAAGACCTTCGTCCCATCCTTTGATGACTTGACCTGCTCCAAGCTCGAAACCGAAATTCCCAGTATGGTTTTGATCGAAGACCGTTCCATCCGTGAGAGCACCCTTCTGTGAATCCGGTTTTGGTGAAAACGAGATTGATAACGGGGTATTTTTGGTATCACAGAGGGTTCCAAGGGATTGCCCGGATTTAGTGACATGATGGGAAGCAAGGTATTCATGGTGTATATTGGTTCATCCATCAGATCGCGCAAGTTTAGAGCGTGCCATCGTCATTATGCCCGACAATTACGATAGATGCGATCGTTGTCAAGGTTCCCCGATGGGAGCGAGATAAGGATCATCAACGGGGAATCGCGCATTGATGAACATCCAAGAGATACGGTGGGTTGGAAGATCGGACACAGAGCGTTGAGGTTTAGAGGTAGTATCGTCATGCAGATATTTACGAGAGCAAAGAGGGGCAAAAGATCATTGGTCAGAGGAGATCGCTGAAGTAAACCAGGTAAACTCACATAGCGTACGGATATCTTTTGGCCAGCCCGGGACTTTGGGAGGTTCTCTGCATTCGATGGAAGAGAGAGTACCTCTATCAGTAGATTATTCGACATTGATGCTGAAGGTTGCGATGCCTAGGTTGATGAGGTAGATGGCAAGTCTGCTGAACCACGTTTGTTGGACATCGCTCCCTTTTATGGGTCACATACATAAAGTTACGTAGGTATATATATAGCATGTTAGATCGTGAATCACATGATAGATCCAATCTTAGTGTCGAGTGGGAAGTAAGCTAGAACCTGTTTGATGAGTGGAAATACGACGTACGTCGCGCCTCGTTAACGTGATACGTTAAGACCTAAGAGGCGCAGATAGGAGAGAGAAGGTGAGGGAAGTAGAGAATCTGAACATCGTTCTAGCTTATAGGTTGCCGAAAGAAGCTACATCCAGAACACGGGCGACTGGTTGGGTGGTCCTCGAATGAAACCAGGTCTACGATTTCGGACTTGTGTTAGCTGGAACTAAGCCCCTTATGAGTGTCCACACGCCCGAGTTGAATGAAAGATATTTCGATAGAAATAAGCACCTCGCGAACAGCTACAAATGAGACCAAAAAAATCGCACGTGGATGTATACGAAACGAAAGTGGTCAGAGGCACTGGCCTATTGGAGGGAGAGGGTGACGTCTTAGAGATCGCTTCGCGCTGGCACAAGTGCCACCAACTCGACATCAAACACCAGCGTTGATCTGGGGGGAATGACGTTACCGAATCCCCTGTCACCTTTTGGAGAGACTTTAGTGGCATTGTGTGAGACTCGAAAGGGTTTACTCACCATACGCCTTTCCTGGGGGGATTGTGAGTTTTCTCTTCTCGCCAACGACCATGTCTACAAGACCCTCGTCCCATCCTGTGATGACCTGACCGACTCCGAGTGTGATATCGAATGGTTTATTTCGATCTCGGGAAGAATCGAATTTCGTTCCAGTGGTGAACAACGTGCCAGTCTTTTGAAATAACATTTTGATAACAGGCATACAGAGTCGCAGAGGTTTCCAAGGGATTGCCCAGATATAGTAACGATCCCCAATGGTGACGAAACCGTGGAGAAATACAGGGAGAAACGGTATTGGTGGCGTGATAGTTTGAATTTCCGGGGCGTCGATTGGTCGCCCGGGAGTTGTGTTCAGCCACCGGGTTGGGCGGATTTCCAGGTTGTAGAGATCAGAGAATGCCGTCACCGTCGTTTGTACCACAAATGGCCGTCGATGGCCCATTCGAACACGATAATTACGATAAACGATTGATAGATGTGATTGTTATCAGAGTTCCCCGATGGGCACGAGATAAGGTTCACAAAATGGGAAGATTGAGCGTTGGAGGATAATGGTTCCAGAAAGATACGGAGAGTTGGGAGATTAGCGGTAGTTTGTTGAGAGTTGGATTTAGCATCGTGGTGAGCAAGGCGATCCAGTTCGTTGCACAGAGGTGTCATTGAAAGGGGAGAAACGAAATAAGGAAACGCAACAAAGGTAACGAGGAGTCGATAACACATTGATTAGCGAGGTTCAAGAGATCGTCGAGTAGGAGAAGAGCGGGCTCACATAGTGGACAGAGATCCTATCGCCAGCTTTGGCTTTTGGGAGGCTGCCCGCATCGGGTGGAAGCGAAAGGAGTTCGACTACTAAATCGGATGGTGGATTCGACATTGATGCTGAAGGTTGTGCTGCCTGGGTCGATGGGGTAGGTGGCAAGTCTGAAGAGCCATGTTTGACGGACGTCGCTCCTTTTTATACGTCGATAGCGATAGATGAATTCGAATTCCATATCAAGTAAAATAACCGACCGCGAATCACACGTACAGTTAGCTCTAGCGCTGGAGTGAAAGCCAAAATTATAGAAACTGTCTCACCTGCACTTACTGCGTGCTGAGCTCCGTCGTCGTGATGTGCTACGACGCCAAGAGGTGCAAATAAGAAGGTGAAAGCGAGAAAAGCAGCGAGTACGAGTGCTGCTCGGGTGAATACTGAGCGACGTGGCATCTCGAACGGGGACTACTGGCTACAGAGTTCTGGAATCGAACTGTGTTTGTGATGTGAAAGCTGCTTGAAGTTGATTGGGTTCCGTACGATTGGCCAGCGGCTATCAGATGTTCTCTAATCGATCGTCGAAGGAGACAAGTGAAGCCCCTTTGATCCCAACAGAACAGTCTGCTTTCTTTCCGCTTTCGGTCCTCCCTTGCTTTGTCCCCACATAGACCAAACCTTAACCGCGTCTCGTCCCGTCGTTGCAGAAAAATGGTCAGTAATCGACCTCTACTTGGTGATAAACCTCATTTATTGACACTTGTCGCATTTTCGGTAACGTTCTTGACGGTAAATTTGGGTGTACAAACATCGGCCATTCCGACATGCTTCGGGACGTTCAGCCATCTCAAAAGACCTTCCGAACGAAACGTATTCTTGCCAAAAAGGGGAAGCAGAACCGGTCAGTGCTCTTGATTTTGAAAAAAGGGTTTGTGCAGGACGACGGCTGACTTCTGGTTGGCATTTGCTTTCTCTACCGCTCGCTATGGGACCACAAAACTCTAATCGACTCTTTGAACTGCTGGATTTCTCCTTCCATCTGCAATTCATCGATTCATCGATACTCAGCCCTGTGCCACAATGGTTTCGCCTAAAGACTGGTACCAAAATACAATACAACGCAAAGAGAAGGCACTGGAGAAGAACAAAACTCAACATCTAATGCATAGAATGTTGCTATTTCGTTCCTGTGTACCCAAGAACTAGGTTTTATTGACGAGGCAGAAGAGTGGATGACTTTATGCGCCAAACCACTATGCGTATGGAGAGACGAATAATATGATATGTCCACACCTCTACTATGCGCATCCGAGTTCACTTTACTCGTTTCTTATTGTCTGCTTATTATCTGAGATCTACATACGTCTCGATAGCGACCACAAACTAAGGATGAAAACTAGGACGCATCGCGAGGCGATAACTCTTCATATGGAACTTCACGCTTCCAAAACAAAAAGACCGAGAGTGATGGGACTCGAACCCACAACCCCCCGCTCCGGAAACGGATGCCCTGCCATTGGGCCACACTCTCAAATCAACTCAGGTCAAGATCGATAGCATATAGAACTGTGATGAATCTGTAAACTACATTCTATAGCTTCCTTGTACAGTGCCTCATACTCACATAGTTGACTCCTTTGGGAAATTGCCTCCAAAGGTACGACCTTCACGGTCCTTGGATCCAACCTCAACTGAGAGGTTCTTAATACGGCCTTCGACGCCTAGATCACCTCTTTGGATAACTATATCAACATAAATCATCTCTTATTGCTGGTTCGCTGGAATCTTCAGCGGTTTCGAGTGGTTAGCCAACTCTTTCATCCTTCTCGTGGGCGCCCTATCACTTTCCGAGGTTCAATCGAAGCAGATTTATAGCTATATGCTACTTTGAATCTCCTTACACGACCTTCTTGCTCATTGCGGCCTCACGTAACTAAACATAGTCCAGAAAGTAGAGTCTACTGGTGAGCGAAATCTTTGATACGGGCAATTTTACGCGACTGCTCACTCTAAATGGACCAACCTCTACTATCAGATGGATAAATGGAGGACTCTGGAGCCTGTAAAGCTACACGCCACTGCGCTGCCTTCTTCCAATAAACCTGGTTCGCGAACCAGCTCTCGTTCAACCATCGCTAATGCGTACCAGAATCGTGCTCAGTACATAGGTCGACTTCCATCCGATATTCACCTCCGTATCTTCCAGTTTCTGTCCATTCCCGACATTCCAGCTTATGCAAGATCAAGTCGAGCCCTATCGACGTTGTCTGCTGACGACAGGGTTTGGAAAGATCGTTGGAGCGTGATAATTGGAGAGGGTCCTACAGCTGCGAATCGTACAAAGGCAGAGGAACGCATGAGGAACGTACTAGATGAATTGGAACGAAGAGCAAGTGCGAGAAGGACCACTGCAATCGCCTATGGTCACGCTAAGACCTCTAGTGGAAGCGTTGATCTCACGTCTGTGGGTCGAACGACCGGGGATCCCCAGTTCTCCAATGGTATACGAGCATCTCTGAGCGGGGCTCAGCCAACAATAGAAGATGATTTTGGGGACTTTGCGACGGCAGACCTTGCTTCAGACGAATTCGACGACTTTATTGGCGCGACGCCGATAGCGGCATCCATGAACGATACAATCTCTCGTCTCTCCACCTCGTTTTCTCCTCCTTCTCTTCCTCCCCAAGGCATTCAGCACGGTTTTACCCCCTTCATTCTTGTATCCGCTACTCGTGGGCAATACGCCAAAGCACATGCCTTACTGAAGCCTTTGCTTCGGTATATCCATCCCTCCACACCACCACACACTTTACTCCCTACTCTACTCCCAACGCCCCCACCTCCACCTCAACCCGTTCCTAACTTTCGGCCTCTCTCACCGCCCAGCCTACAAGTTCAAGCCCAACTTCTCTCCTTACTAACGCGCTTTCTATCCCCAACCTTTCAACCCACTCGGGACTGGGAAATTCGTTCCCATGCATTGAAGAGCTGTATCGATGTCTTTGAGGCTACGGTTCTAAAGTTGTTCGAGGATGGTGATAGTCGGCATGATGAAAAGGCTATGCGGGAAGCTGCATGGGCTGCATGGGAGGTCCATACGGCCTGGGTAGTGCCTAGTCGAAAAGATATACTTGGAAGCGG